TGCGAGTTCATTTTCTCACTTGTTGCGGCAGTAGAGGGCCATGCACAGCGTTCCCAGGAGGCTAATCGCCATGGCAATGGACGTGATTGACAGCACCTGTCTCTTATACACCTCTTTGCTCTCTGTGGAGAAATAAACACAGGAAGAAGTCACATTAATGTTTGAACAACAGACCCTCGGGGAAATAAAGCTATAGATCACGCACGTGTTTATGCGAGAGACCGAGGAAGGGAGAGAAAACAGTGCAGCTGTGCGAGCGTGTATATGTGCAGACATCCCACAGTCAACATCCACACAGTCCTCACCATAACGCAGAATTAAACATGGGTTTGAGATTTGCACTTACCCATTTTTAATTTCTAACGGTGTTGTTTACAGCACCCAAACAGCCTTTTTAAATCACCGAACAAGCAGTTGTGGTGCAACAGCTCTCTTAGGCTCTTCTGTATCTGTCTTGCAGATTCTTACAAGTGTAATTACTTTTGCGTAAACCAAATAAAATTGAAATAAAACAGCAATAAACAAACGCGCTTTTACAACTCCCCAGCAACACTCGCTATTCTTAGTTACCACACAGCCTTTCGGCTCATTTCTATCAGCTCTCCCACGTAGAGTAATGGTCCGACAGACACAAGACACTGCTTTTGAAATGGATGCCACATGTAATGGAGCCTGAATACATGGAGACAAGAAGAGTTATGGCGCGGAGGAACGCCATTAGTGGAGAAAAATGGAAGCTGTCTTGTTTGTTCCGAACAAGTAAATCATAGTTGCCTTCAGATACATTAATAGGCGATCAATCAAGTTTTATTTAGCAAGGCTCAGACCTTGGAAAACAATGACGATGACAGGTGTTGAGGTTTTACGTTGAGGTGATTGAGACAAATTCTCACCGTGGATGGGCACGAATGGCCACTTTAGCGCAAAAAAAATAATCACCACTCACAAAAATCACAGCCGCGAGCTGAGGAATAAAACCGCAACACAGCTGCAGCCACTACGTTTTGCTCAAGGGCATCCTGACAGCAGTCAGCGAGGGAGAGTGTTACTAATTCACAACCACATCAATATTTTTAAGCCTGTCGGGGAATTTAAAACAGGGATCTCTCGATCCGAGCCTTTCACAGCAGCCTTTAAGCTATTGTGTACCCCGCAGAAATCGCACAACCGGTCGTACGTGCGATATATCATTTATAATCCCTAAAAATAACAGATGTTGCAGAGCCTATTAGTGTCTTTTCGGTACATTTTTTCCCTTCTCCTCTGTGCCATTATTTCTCTCCCTCCATCTATGTCTAAATTATGTCCGGGGCCAGTGCTGTTTAGATGCTGCTAATCAGGCTGCAACAGATTTGCTCATGGGCTACAATTATGTCAGCAGAGGGAGCTGGGGCACATCAGGTTGGCTGCAGGGACGGCAGAGCAACAGACATGGAGGCAGGAGACCAAGAGGAAAAGGAAAGGTGAGGAGAAATCAACCAGCCAGGTGTTAGTAAGCAAGGAAGATGGATTTTTATCTGATAAATCCAGCGTATTGACTGATCTGGCTGCCACTGGTTAGCCTTTTCAGAATTTACAACATGCCTGAGGAAAACTGGGTGGTAATTAATGTGTGTAGGGACAGAAATATATGAATACATGCATACACAGCTACGAGTTGAGTAGAGAAATGGGCAAAACTTCAGTATATCACACACTGTCTGGCTTATATTTACATATGCATGCAGCATTTCAAGTATTTGGTTAGTCATAAATATGTTTTCGGCTTGTCCAAGGTCACGCAATACCTTAGATTCCCCTCCCACGTGCTTATTTGGACTGCACACACACACAAAACAAAAAAACACCCTCTCGTGATATGAATTAATCATACGGCTCATGAGAGGGAAAGTATGTTCATGTTCCATCTGTGGAGCCGTGAGGTCACATCTTCTATTACTTTCCACTTGAAACCTCCATTTCTGCACTGCAGAGCCCTGCCGGCCACTTATTCACAGCCACATTATAGAGAAATGTGATCAATATTTTACACTAAAAGTGGCAGCGGCAGTAATATAGAAGGGCTGCGGTGACCTTTTTTGTATGTAGTCATATACATTCATAGCGTGTTTACAGCTGCTATACACTCCGCACAGTCGAGTGTGCCAGAAAGATAAGGCGGTAAGAAATGGAGAAAGAGTTGGAGAAATACAATTTAAGTGGGCTTGTGTGAAATAACTGAATGGGAAAATAAAAATGAAAAACTGTGTATAAACAAACCAACTCGGGTTTTGTGTGCCGACTCTTTCAATCATCATCGAAAATGATTGAGTTGAGCTTCATTATGAGACATGACCAGCTTTCTGTTGCATCATACAACATGCACACCTATGTCCTGAAGAGCACGAATGCTCGAAATAAGCACAAACAAATTACAGTGCAATCGAATAGCGGGTGAGAGCACAGTCACAGACACTCACACACAGAGTCTGGCGACAGAGAGAGGTGGCATTTTGACAGCATATCTCTCAGGCATGCTGACTCTGAGCCCTGATGAGATGGCTGAAGTCTGCCTGGTGGAGTTCATGACATATAAACAGAAACGGTGGACAGTAAAATGCACTTGGCAGTTCTCCAGCACACACATTTCCATCAGTAGTGGCCCTCTCCTCTGGAGTGCTTTTGAGCCAAGTCCATTAGGATCGACTCAGTTTCCCCCTCAAAATCACTGAAAGTTAAAAAAAAAAAAAAAGCTCTTGTGCATTAAGAGATTTCAATTTTTTTCTATCCAGGCAGTGTTTGCACATTGAATCTTACCCTTATTTTAGTGACAAAGGGTGCCAGATTTGTGAGTAATTCAAGGATTTTAATCTAATACCGAACATATGGACAAGTCAGGCAGCTGGCAGGCACCGACACTGTCGAGGACTGTTACAGATATTAGGTGAAAGACTATTCAGTTGTATTTCATTTGTACAATTATGGAATAAACTGTGGCCTGGAGTTTGAAGGTAGTAGAATTTAATGCTGATTGGCAGCACATTGGAATCAGTTCAAAGTTTATATTGTTGCAGAATTTGGATGATTGATTGGTCAAACAGTCAGTGTTAGCATACTAGCATAGAAGCTACTGATCAACCAGGTTTTGAGACGACCAGAAATGGAGGTAATAGAAAGGATGGACTCGGCCCCTTTGATGTTATTCATTGTTTGTAGACTTTTCAACTCTGCCGTTATGTTGTTATGTTGCTGGAAAGAGAAGTGACCATAATTGCATGAAAAGTTCCAATGCAAGTTAGCAAAGGCTAGCAAATATGACTGAGAATGTGCATCTAGACACTGTATGGTAGCATTGCACGTCGAGCTAATAGCGCTAAGTACAATAAAAATAAAATACTAGAATTTCTCTCATGAGAAGTGGAGCACTAACTTCTTAGATGAACTGATGGGACAGTTAACTATGCAACAAACCATAATGTTTGTCAGACAACACTCCAAAAGACACCAATACCACAAACAGGGTTTAGCAATGCAGTTCAGCAGCTTGAATTTTCAGACCCTACGGCAGTGTTTCGCAACCACTGGATGGGCCGCATACTTAAAGACCGCTAAGGCCGGAAGTGCGAGGCTTGTGAAATGGGACGCTCTAGCCTCCATCGCGCTGCCCAGGTTGCCTAGCAACCATGATACTAACAGCTGTAAACGTTTCATACAGCTTTGTTTGACAGAAATGAAGGAGAAAATCTTTCGTTCATTTGTTTGTTTGTTTCTACATGAGCTTTGATCATTCTCTGTAAGATTAAGCTCAGCTATTGAACGGCGTATATTTTAAAGTAAAGGCTGTAAAACCAAGTTAGTCCTGGAGAACATTCGGACCCAGATGAAGGCTCGTGCATAAGTGAGAAAAAAGAAAAAAGGTATACTGGGGACAAAGCGAACCGCTATACCGGCTTCACGGAGAAAAATAATCAACATGCCTTTTGCGACATTTTTGTTTGGTGGTGTGTTGTGTGATTTTCTAATGGGAAATATGTGCCGTGGCTCCAAATGGTTGGGAAACACCGCTCTCGAGGCCTTCACCTGTTCCATTTTAAGCCTTAATAAAACCCCTGTACATGGGACATAGGAGTCGATGGAGACCGACCTGCAGTGGCCATTCAAGCAACTGTTTTGGCATTGGTTCTTGGCTTCATCTAAAACAGGTAAAATGGTACCAGCCTTGAGACAAAGCTGCAGACTGTTCACCAACAATACAATCAGAACAAACAATGAAAAAGAAAACAATGATTTAAATACGTTTAACACACAACTGTAGATTGATTCATTTTCAAAAGCCCAAATAAATTCTGATATTTAAAGGTTCAGCCTTGTGAGGACGCTGTGTTTTAATCCTTTAAAGGTAGTATTTGGTTCCATAATGATGAAATTAAAAAAACTTTTTTATATCATGATGTACATTATGCAGGACCTTGTTCCATTTTGACTCTTAAGTCTTGATACCAAATTTTTCTTCATCTTATGCTCCACATTGTTTTATCAAGTTAGATCATCTATTACGAGTCCATGGCTGTATCCCAATTCAGGGTCTGCAGCCTTAAAGTACGCAGCCTCAGCGATCTTCAAGGGCCGCGTACTTAAAGACCGCTAAGGCCGGAAATGCGAGGCTTGTGAAACGGGACGGTCTAGCCTCCGTTGCGCTGCCCAGGTTGCCTAGCAACCATGATACTAACAGCTGGAAACGTTTCATACAGCTTTGTTTGACAGAAATGAAGGAGAAAAACTTTTGTTCATTTGTTTGTTTGTTTCTACATGAGCTTTGATCATTGTCTGATTAAGCTCAGCTATTGAACGGCGTATATTTTAAAGTAAAGGCTTTAAAACCAAGTTAGTACAAACGTCACTAATGTCACATAACTTTGCCGACATGTGGCCAACAGTAAGGTTTTAATGATCTTCGTTATTAAACATTTGCACATAAATAAGTGACATAATATTCAGTACTTAAAGTTTACTCTTCGGGCACGCCTTATCCGCCGTTTTTTTCCGGCAAAATTATCCACACCCACCGCCGCACTATGCATTCTGGGATATGTTGGGCCACGAAGTCTACACCGCCACGTCCTTAAAATTCAGGGAAATGAAG